ACTTGTTCCTTCTCTGCTAGATGGCTGCTTGTTTAACTTCAAGTCTTTAAGACCCCAGACATTATTATATATTTTGCTAGCCGAGCACCAACAGCTTTCTTCACCACATTTTCTTGTGCACCCATGTTGTCTTCAGTGATCATGCCGGGAGAGTGAGCATCTCAGAATGTCAGGTTGTTAGAACAAAGTGTTCCTGCATTGATGGAGGGTATGAGCAGAGCCCCAAAGTCTGTCTTGAATAGATGTTCAAATGTTCACAGAAGTTCTTGAATAGATGATCAAACTGGTACCTCCCTACAATGAAGTATTATTCATTAAAAAAAATAGAGCTATCATGTCGTGAAGAGACAAAGGGAGAAAAAACACTTAAATGCACAGGCTACATATGGCATGATTTGAACTCGGTGATATCATGAAAAAGGCAAAATAACAGAAAAAGTAATGTTTCAATTCTAACCATAAAGTTTTCTGTGGCTAATTCTTCAGAGATTGACAGCCTATTCCTTATTCATATTGTGTTCTTAGTCTGGAAATTCTGCCAAAACCTGTTCATTTGGAATGAGTTTGCTGGTATTTGAAATATTGGTGACACAGCTTCCAGCACCACAGCAACATACCAGCCACCACAGTATGACAAAGTACCAAAATATTTTTCAAAGGTCAGCTTGAGAAGATAAAGCTAAATATTATAATAAAATACACAAAGGCCTACAGTTACAAAACTAGAAAGAAAGAACCCTCAGCATATCATTAACTGAAAGAACTCAAGAAAAAATCCAAGCCTCGGGTTGGAATACTGAAAGATTCAATGGGCAATACTGTATATTGCATGATGGAGAAAGCATAAAAAGAAAATGGAAAGACTACACAGAGCCATGGTACTAAAAAGAGTTAGTCAACATTCAACAATTTTAAGAGGCAGCATAAGAACGAGAACCAATGATACTGAACAAAGAAGTCCAAGCTACACTGGAAGCATTAGTCAGAAACAAGGCTCCAGGAATTGATGGAATACCATTTGAAATGTTTCAACAAGCTGAAGGTGTTAGTCTGGGTATACTAGAGAAACAAATTCATAGACACTCATAGGAGTATAAGAAAGAGGTTTATACACCAGAGCAATTGTATATTGAGAAAACATCCCAACCTAGTCCAAGCAAGTCAAGTCCATCAGTCCAATATTAAGTCATATGTCTGATGCCAATCTATAAAGTCCTCTTCAGACTCACGACACACATGCAATGATGTCGAATGCAGGAAGATCACAGGACAGTGTCTGGAAAGTCTTGTAGATCCAGTGGCATTGTAAGCATCTCAGCACTAACAGGGGTCTACACGTGACTTCTTCAAGTCCAGGGTTCTGGCTGCCTTAGGGTAGGTCCAGGTGGCTTCTCCTCAGGGATGTCTCGCAGGGAGACAGCCTTGTCAGTAGAGAGTCTCCAAGGAAGTGAGCAGAGAAAGTCTCTCCCACCTCCAAGGAGGAAAATCGCAGGAGTTCCCAGAATCCTCAGGAGAAAGCCCTGCCCACTCAGAGTCCTCATTGGCTATGATGTGATTGACAGGCTAGACTCCACCCCTTCACTCTTAATCCTCCCAAGTCCCAAATTGACACCAGATTATGTAACTACCACACTGATGAAGCACTAGAAGCATTTGCTTACCTATGCCACAAAACTTGGAAGACACCTACTTAGCCAAATGACAGGAAGAGAATTCATATTTGTTCCCATTCCAAAGAAAAGTGACTCAACAATGTTCAAATTCAAGAAAAATATAATTGATATTGCATGCATGTAAAACTTGGCTGAAGATCATCCAATAATCATTGCAGCAGTACATTGAGGTTCAGACCAGATTCAAAAGAGAACGTGGAACAAGGGATATTGTTGCTGACGTCAGATGGGTCTTGGCTAAAAGCACAGAATACCAGGAAAATGTTTGCTTGTGTTTTATTAGCTATGCCAAGGCATTTAACTGTATGGATCATAACAAACCAGAGATAGCCTTGAGAAGAATGATAATCCCAGAGCATTCCATTGTGCTCACACAGAACCTGTTCATGGATCAAGAGGCAGCTGTAGAAATAATACAAGATAATATTGCATGGTTTAAAATGAGGAAAGATGTGCTTCAGGGTTGTATCTTCTCACCATACTTATTCAGTCTGTATGCTCAGCAAATAATCAGAGAAACTGGATTACATGAAGAAGGATGTTGAAAATATTGAGAAAACATCCCAGATCAAGTCCAACATTAGCCCATCTGCATTAGCCACAGGCCATCTTAACCACAGGCATCAGGATTGGAGGAAGGCTCATTAAAAACGTATGGTATGCAGATGACACAACCTTGCTTCCTAATCGTGAGTAGGACTTAAAGCACTTGTTGATGAAGGTCAAGGATTGAAACCTTCAGTATGGATTACGACTCAGTGTAAAGAACACACAAATCCTCACAGTTGAACCAGTAGGTAACATCATGATAAATGAAGAAAAGCTTGAAGTTGTCAAGGATTTTTTTCTTGCTTGGATCCACAATCAAGGCTCAAGGAATCAGCAGTCAGGAGATCAAATGACACATTGAATTGTGTAAATTTGCTGCACAAGACATCTTTAAAGAGTTGAAAAACAAGGTTGTTACTCTGCGGGACTAAAGTGCACCTGACCTAAGCCATGGCATTTTCAGTGGTCTCATATACATGTGAAAGTTGATATTGAATAAGGAAGGCCCCAAAATAATGCATGCATTCAAATTATGGTGCTGGTGAAGAATATTGAATACTGAAATAAAGAATATTGAAAATACGACAGAAAGAATAAACAAATCTGTCTTGGAAGAAGTACAGCCAGAATGCTCCTTAGAGACAATGTTAGCGAGACTTCATCTCACATACTTTGGGACTTGTTGTCAGGAGACACCAGTCCCTGGAGAAGGACATCATTCTTGGTAAATAACAAGAACAGTTAAATAGTGGAAGACCTTCCGTGAGATGGATTGGCACAGTGGTTTCGACAATGGGCTCAAATAAAACAATAACTGTAAGGATGGGGCAGGACTGGGCAGTGTTTCATTCTGTTGTATATAGGGTCACAATGATTTGGAACTGACTCGACAGCACCTAACAAAAACAACATAGAAAGAGTAGAAGATCTGTGGTTATTATGAGATGGAAATGGAGGAATAGGTGAAATACAAGAAGTTTAAGGTTAGTGAACCCTGATGGTGTAGTGGTTATGAGTTGAGCTACTAATTGTAAGGTCAGTTGTTTGAAACCACGGGCCATCTTCGGGAGAAAAATGGGTCTTTCTATTTCAGTAAAAAGTTGCAGTCTTGGAAACCCACGAGGCCAGTTCTACCATGCCCTATAGTGTTGCTATGAGTCCGCATCGACGAAATGGCAGTGGGTTTTGATTTGGGTTTGGTATTATAATACATCCAATTTCAAGTGCTGCTTTGACATCTTTGAGTCTCACTGGCCTCAAAGGCCTACCTGGGATTTTCCCTACTTACACCAGATATGGTTCCTACCTAATGGGAAAGGCTCCTGACCAGCTTGAAACTTAATGGGTTTCACTCCCCACCCAATGCCTGGAATTATTGGACCAAGTCAATCACATCCCTCCACAGGAACCAAGGGCATTCCACTCTCCTCTTATTGTCCCTTCTGTTAAACTCTGTTCATGAGTGCAAGCCGAATGTGTCACTAATGACATGACATTCCCTCCTCCACCTCCACTGTGAAAAAAGATGACTAATATTGGTATTAATCTCATCTCTTCTGTGTTGAAGCAATTAGAATTTTCTCCAGTATACAAGTCTGGTATGATGCTGATGAAAACAATGCAATCTACCATATCAACAGATTGTTAAAAATCATATAATCAAATTGTTAATACAGAAAAGATATGTGAAGAAAACACTCCATTATGTTAAAAATTCTCATCTCACTGAAGATATGAGTGCTATTGTAAAGTGTAAGAAACCAGATGCCTGGCTACCAAAAAAACTAGTGTCTAGAATCGTAAAGGCTTGTCTGAAAACAAGCAGCCATCTAAGAGAAGTGTCAGTTAAATCCACATGGAAGAAGCCCACCAACCTGTGTGATCCAAAGATCTGTAAGAAATAAAATTCAAATCCGGAGGAGGCAACTGTTTTAGATCTTAAATTCTGAGTACTTAATGGATAAAAGTAAAAGGCCCAAATGCATTTCCAGGTTCCCCATGTAGATTAAGCCTTTGGTGAATTCCCTCTGGCCATTGATCAGTGATGCAAATAATCCATGCTATCAGAGTGCATTCGATATTGCAGATGTAGTTACATTAAAATTTAATAACTTATTTGTTCTCCATTTTGACACATTTTGAATTTGTTCTAGTTTTTACTATTTTCTGCCTTTTTTTCTATTTTGTTTTTCCTGTGTTTTATTTTGTTATTGTTCTTGGTTTTTAAACTTTCTTTTTTGGTATATCTTTACTTCTATGAAATCTGGGAGAGTTAAATCTATAGAGACAATATGGATTTCAGAGTTTCTAGGATTATGTCAAGGGAGATTGGATGGAAAGAGGGAGCTAATCATGAGTATAAGGATGAGGAACATCTTCTAAAATAGATTGTGGTGATTACACCACAATATATTATAAAGAATATATTATTTTTAATATATTTAAACCACTGAATTGTATGATATATGAACTATGTGTTGGGGTAGTTACACAATCTCATGTCAACTTGAGGGTACTAAGAGTGAAGGGATAAGGGCCGGGGAGACTGGAGGTGGGGACGAGCCCCAGAGCCCCCGGCAGCCACGCCAGCAGCGGCCCTGGGCGGGTGGTGTCTGGGCACCCCTTCTCTCTACCCACACTGTGGGGACTGCCCTGCTCACCTCTCGGGGCCCCTGCCAGGGCCGCACAGCCCCCATGCACCACCCCCCTCCCGGGGAGGTAATCTGTCAGGGCAGCTGCGATCAGCTGGCCCTGAAGATGTGAGACCCGGGAGGTAAAATGCACGCTTGCTGCCACCCAGTAACTTTGGAACAAGACCTTCACAGAACAATGCATAGTTGGATGCTGCAGACTCTGGCATTTGCTATAACAGCACTCGTCCTGTCCTGTGCAGAAACCATCGATTATTATGGGGAAATCTGTGACAATGCATGTCCTTGTGAGGAAAAGGATGGCATTTTAACTGTGAGCTGTGAAAAACGGGGGATTATCAGTCTCTCTGAAATCAACCCTCCCCGGTTTCCAATCTACCACCTTTTGCTATCTGGGAACCTCCTGAACCGTCTTTATCCGAACGAGTTTGTCAATTATACTGGGGCTTCGATTTTGCATCTGGGTAGCAATGTTATCATGGACATTGAAACCGGGGCTTTCCATGGGCTGCGGGGTTTGAGAAGATTGCATCTGAACAATAATAAACTGGAAGTTCTGCGCGATGACACTTTCCTTGGTTTGGAAAACCTGGAGTACCTACAGGTCGATTACAATTACATCAGTGTCATTGAACCCAGTGCTTTTGGGAAACTGCATTTGTTGCCGGTGCTTATCCTCAATGAAAATCTCTTGTCCAGTTTACCCAACAACCTTTTCCGTTTTGTGCCCTTAACGCACTTGGACCTGCGGGGGAACCGACTGAAACTTCTGCCCTATGTGGAGCTGTTACAGCACATGGATAAAGTTGTGGAATTACAGCTGGAGGAGAATCCCTGGAATTGCTCCTGTGAGCCGATTTCTCTCAAGGATTGGCTAGACAGCATCTCTTACTCAGCCCTAGTGGGGGATGTGGTTTGTGAGAACCCTTTCGGCTTGCACGGCCGTGACTTGGATGAGGTGCCCAAACAGGAACTTTGCCCTCGAATGCTCATTTCCGACTATGAGATGAGGCCACAGATACCTTTGAGCACCACGGGGTATTTACACACCACCCCTGCTTCGGTCAACTCTGTGGCCACATCTTCCTCTGCTGCTTACAAACCCCCCTTGAGATCTCCTAAGGGGACTCGCCAACCCAACAAGCCCAGGGTGCGCCCCACCGCTAGGCAGCCGTCCAAGGACTTGGGCTACAGTAATTATGGCCCCAGCATCGCCTACCAGACCAAATCCCCGGTGCCTCTGGAGTGTCCCACCGCATGCACTTGCAATCTACAGATCTCTGATCTGGGCCTCAATGTCAACTGTCAGGAGCAAGATAGAGAGCATTGCCGAGCTGCAGCCCAAGCCCTACAACCCGAAGAAGATGTATCTGACGGAGAACTACATCGCCGTGGTGCGCAGGGCGGACTTTCTGGAGGCCATGGGGTTGGATCTTCTGCACCTAGGCAACAATCGCATCTCCAAGATCCAGGACCGCGCCTTCGGTGACCTCACCAACCTGAGACGCCTGTACCTGAACGGCAACCGGATCGAGAGGCTGAGCCCCGAGTTGTTCTACGGCCTGCAAAGCCTGCAGTATCTCTTCCTACAGTACAATCTCATTCGCGAGATACAGTCTGGCACGTTTGACCCCGTCCCGAACCTCCAGCTGCTGTTCCTGAATAACAACCTCCTACAGACCCTGCCCTCAGGTGTCTTCTCGGGCCTGACCCTCCTCAGACTGAACCTGAGAAGCAACCACTTCACCTCCTTGCCAGTAAGTGGAATTCTGGACCAACTGAAGTCGCTCATCCAAATAGATTTGCACGACAACCCTTGGGATTGTGCGTGCGACGTGGTGGGCATGAAGCTGTGGGTGGAGCAGCTCAAGGCCGGCGTCCTGGTGGACGAGGTGATCTGCAAGTCACCTAAGGAGTTCGCGGAGACCGACATGCGGTCCCTTAAGTCGGAGCTGCTGTGTCCCGACTACTCTGACGTGGTGGTTTCCACACTCACGCCAGCCTCCATCCAGGTCCCCGCGAGGACCAGCGCAAGGACCCCTGCCTTAAGAGCAAATAGCACTGGGGACCCCGCGGGCCCAGGCGCGGGCAGAGGCACGTCCTCCGTGCCGCTGTCCGTGCTGATCCTCAGCTTGCTGCTGGTGTTCATCATGTCCGTCTTTGTGGCCGCTGAGCTGTTCGTGCTGGTCATGAAGTGCAGGAAGAAGAACCAGAGCGACCACACCAGCACCAACTCGGACATGAGCTCCTTCAACATGCAGTACAGCGTGTACGGCGGGAGCGGCGGCGCGGGGGGCCACCCCCACCGCCAAGGCCACCACTGTGGGCCGGCGCTAAGTGTACGAGTACATCCCCCACCCGCTGGGCCACATGTGCAAAAACCCCATCTACCGCTCCCAGGAGGGCAACTCCGGGGAGGATTACAAAGACCTGCACGAGCTCAAGGTCACCTACAGCAGCAACTAGCACCTACAGCAGCCGCCACCGCCCACCCCCACCCCCCCAGCAGCAGCAG